ACATTGCCATGATTATATTTGAATAAGTTGGCATTAAGATTTATAATCTATAATTACAATTTGCTGCGCATTGTTTGAAGCCATATTCTACTTTGTCCACAAAGAAAAGATATTGCACATTTTGAAGACCTTTTGAAAGTCGAGTCACATAGCACCCTTTTCAAAACAAAACAACATTTCCATGGAACAGTTGTACTCTTTGAAAGGATATGCTGCAGAAGGTGGTGCAATACTTGCTTTACAAACAACACATATTTTAAAAACAGGCTTTTGCATCATCAATGGAATCTAGAGTAGGCTCTTGCTACACTTCCTTACAATAATGTTGCACACTTTGCAAACAAGAATCTGCACTTTCAAAGGTAAAACGCATGTTTCAATGTGTCAGTAAGATGGCACCCTTTTCAAAACCATGCTGTAGTAATTCAAGAATAGATTCAATCTTGCAAAAAAACATACTACATTTTCCTACAGGAATGCTATGAATTCTGAAATCATTCAGTACATACATAGGAGGGTTCTCCTTGAAATTGGGAAGTAATGCTACACATCTTTCAAAGAATGCAGCAATGCTTGCAAAAGGTTGTTGCATACATGGAGGAATGGTGTTCTTTATGCACAGTCTTTTTACAAGTGATGTTTGCATGTTTATTTTCCTTCATTTTTTATAGAGAACATATTGTATAAATTGGTGCCTGCTTAAAATGCACATTTTTTTAATGCTACTTATCTTTCAAACAATGCCACACTTTTTGTTAAGGGACTGTTACATTGAGGAATGGCGTTCTTTATGCGAAATTATTTTACAAGTGCAGTTTGCAAATTCATTTTCCCTTCATTGTTTATAGAGAACATATTGCATAAATTGGTACCTGTTTAGAACGCACATGTCCAAAATAACTATTGCATATGTTGAGGGAAACTCCTGTAGAGATGTAGAGTCTATACATTTTTAAAGCAATGCTGCACTCTTTGGAAAGGCACTTACACTTGTTTGTTGTGTTGTTTTTCCCCACCTGCCAGGTGAGGGTTGTTAGATTTTATGTCAGTTGCTTCCTCCTCCTCCTCCTCCTCCTCGTCCTCCTCCTCCTCCTCTCCTCTCTTCTCCTCTCCTCTCCTCGTCTCCTCTCCTCGTCTCCTCTCCTCCTGCTCCCTGCCGGACTTCAACCACGACCATCCACGCCCAGTGTGCCCTGCCGGACCTCAACCACGACCATCCACGCCCAGTGTTCCCTGCCGGACCTCAACCGCGAGTATCCGGGCCCAGTGTTCCCTGCCGGACCTGAACCACGACCATCCACGCCCAGTGTTCCCTGCCGGACCTCAAACGCGAGGATCCATGCCAAGTGTTCCCTGCCGGACCTCATGTAGGAAGATAAAATGTCAGATAGAGTGCCAGAAGATTTGCCAGGTAGAATGCCAGAAAATATGCCAGAAGATATGCCAGATAGATATGCCAGAAGATATTCCAGAAGATATGCCAGATAGAATGGCAGATAGAATGCCAGATAGAATGCCAGAAGATATGTCAGAATATATGCCAGAAGATATGCCAGATAGAATGCCAGATAGAATGCCAGAAGATATGTCAGATAGAATGCCAGAAGATATGCCAGATAGAATGCCAGAAGAATGCCAGATAGAATGCCAGAAGATATGCCAGAAGATATGCCAGATAGAATGCCAAATAGAATGTCAGAAGATATGTCAGATAGAATGCCAGAAGATGTGCCAGTAAGAACATGTATAAATGTCATGGTGGGGATCACACGAAGTAAAGTAATTATCTATTATTCATGTTTGCTTTGGCTGAAACTATGTATCTATGTAGGATATTGAGAGAGCTGTTGAGAATGCACAGTGGTTGCTTTTGTTACAGAAGCAACAATGTTTGGTTCTGGAAAGAACAGGGTTTGGTATCTTTTGCAGAAATGAAATGTCAAAAATGTAAACATTTTGGCGCTCACAACACCCCCCTCCCTTTTCTTTGTACACTTGTTGATTTTTTGAGGCAACGTGTTCCGTAACGTAAGGGAAGTGCTCGTCAAGGACGTTAATACACACCCTCCCACCCCCTGATCGTCATACGCCAGCATGCGCAACGTGTACATGTTCCGTAACGTCAGAGAAGTGCTCGTCAAGGACGTTAATACATACCCCCCCACCCACCCCTGATGATCATACGACAGCATGCAACATGTGCATGTTCCGTAAGTAAGGGCGTACTTGTCCAGGACGTTAATACACCCCCCCCCCCCCCCTGATGATCATACGACACAGCATGCGCAACGTGTACATGTTCCGTAACGTAAGGGAAGTACTCGTCAAGGACGTTAATACACCCCCCGCCCCCCTGATGGTCGTATGCAACATGTTAAAGACGCCAAAAAATGAAATCCTACCCCCATTTCGGAAAATTTAATTTTCAAATTTGCAACCTTTCCAAGGGATCGTAAATGGCACATCTCCAAATTAAACAAACCTTCCAAGGGCGCAGTATCAGCCGCATGCCAAAAACAGCGGTTTGGTTATTTGTGTTTCGTTTTTGTTACCGGTAAGTTTGCAACATGTCTTCCGCTATTCCACTGTCCACTTGGTGTAAAATGGCGTCGTCTCGTTTTGTCCAATGGCCTGGGCCGCAACCATTGCTGTGCAAATACGAACACAAAGTTCCCGAGGCAGTGTTTGGGAAGTACCCCAAAGGGGTTCGCCCATTCAACTCCCATTCGCTGCCGATGCATTTATTGCATTCATCAGCATGGGGGTGGGTCAAACATCATGTGACCCATCCCCTGGACACTCAGTTGTTTGAAGTTTAGTCCATTTAGTTCCATAATTCTAGAAGTTAAGTTCAAAAAATGTTGATGCTTATGTTAACAAGGGTCGGTGAGTTTGGGGGTGGGCAACTTCAGACTTCATCTATCTCAGTGCATCCGTTTATGGGAACCAGACATACTGGGTTCAAATATTTGTATGTTCCATCCAACTTCGGATGATGATGGTAAGTTTGTTGCTGCGAGTATTTGCTGCAAGAATGAAACATGTGTGTCTTTGTTTAAATATTGCTGGCGTATCCGTACCAGCAGGTGGGGCACTTTAATGCCATGATCATGTTATTTTTCCCCAAGCACATCAGAGGGGAGGGTCTGGCCAGTGCCCAAGTAGAAACAAACATCGGCAGCTTAATTTGTATGATGCGTTTCTTAACTCTGTAACTCTGTCCCCAACCAAACTTTCAGATGAAATTTGCATATTTGTTCGAATGTGTCTCATAATCTTTGTATTTAGTTGTAAGTCGGGACAGCCACACACATTTCAGTTGGGGCAAGACACTACTTTTTCAGTTGGACGAAGCAAGGTTCCAGTCGTGTCGCTAAATTTGAAATTTTAGTTATATATTGTGACTATGACATACCCTCAATCAGTGCGGGAAGAGCAAGCGGACATGAACCTCATCAGCATTTTCCATCTCATTTCTATCAATTTGAGACCTCCAAGAAACATCAAACAACAAGATGCCGGCCTTCAAGTCAGCGCGCGCTCACGCTGGGCATCTGGTTTCAAATTATGCAATTATTCTGGGCGCAAAGTTGTTGCCCGGCATTGTTTTTTGCATGATACGAACACATGCGAATACACAGTTCCATGTTCCGGCAATATCTGGGCAGTTCCCAAAGGGGTTGCCCAGTCCATTGCCATTGGCTATTGCATTCAGCATGGGGGTGGGTCAAACTGTCCGGCCACAGAAACTTGAGATGTTGCCAACCTTTTTCTGCAATCTCGGGAGTTCCCAAGTTTGACCCATCCCCTTGAAACTCTGTTCGGAGCTGGCATTAAAAAAGAAACATGTTGATGATTATATCATCAAGGGTCGGTGAGTTTGGGGGTGGGCAACTTCAGACTTCATCTATCTCAGCGCATCCGTGTATGGTTCTCGGGTTGGATGTCAAACCTAGAAGAGTGGAACCCAGACATACTGGGTCAACTGGTTTGCATGCAATCTAATTCCCGCTGATTTAGGGTTATTGACTGTCACTGACCATTTACCAATTTGAGGGATCATACCTTGCAATAGCCAGTTTTTCCCAGTTGGTGCAGTGGCGTCGCCGTGGGCGGCCAATTCACCTACTCAATGCTGTATATGATCTAAATTGTTTGATTGACTCGGAATTTATTTGGACGGATTCCCTATCACGTCTTATCAGCTTGCTTTATGGATGCGATCGCCAAATCATGTGCTCAATTAATGTCACTATGTTCAATCACATCACATCCACTTATATCCAATCAAGATTTGTCGCCATTGATTTGTTGCATTTTTCTAGAGCGTGCCCGTTCCCATCAAAAATCCAAGGCTCGAACTTCGTGACATGAGCTGCGTTCGAAAAATGTGATCTCAGTGAACGTGGAATGGCTGAGTGTATGGGGGATGACTGGATATGATGCTTTTGTTGGTGGCCTGGGGTGACTCACATCTTCAGATATAGATTCTATATAGACTGTCGGGAACGGTTTTGGCTGATACTTGGACCTAAAAAGGCAGTGGATGATTGACAATTCTTGAGCTGGTTCCTTGTGCGCAGCATTTGTTTCCAGCAGTTGCGTCCTATCTTCCAAGCTCCGGCAATTTCAACAGCTACCCTCAACTGTGAAGCACACATTTTTTAGCATCTGATCCTGGAAGAACCGCAGCTGAAATAGTGCGGTCCCAGAGACTTCGAAGTTGGCGGGCCACAACACCACAAATCCAGTGGGCAGATTCGTTTGATTCGTCCTTGCGATGAGTTGGAGATGGCTCAGAATATGGTGTAGCAATAAGGCTCGCAACCTATTGTCGGACACAATTGCTCATGTTTCGTTTTCAACCATGCTAAAACTTAGTGACTTAGTCCAGGTCTGGTAAAATCCTATCATTGCGCAAAAAAAAGTTGTTCAGGCATCCCAACACCATCCAGTTCTAGTGGTCACAAGCCGCGCTGTCCAAGCCACGATGAGCCGCGATGCTGCCGTCCGAGCAGGTGAGAGCGGAAAACCATCCACCATTCTTTTGTCATTTTATCTGACAGCCTGTCACACATTCTGACATTCAATCTGGCATTCCACCTGACATATTTTCTGACATATTTTGTTCGGCATTTTATATGGCATATTTTCTGACTTTCTAGCTCTTGTGAAAATTTGACGAATATTTTGACATTCCATTTCAGGTACATTCTGGCAGCTTGCATTCTATTTGACATATTTGGGCGCATATTTTCTGAGAGTCTATCTATCAAATGTTCTAACATTAAATATAGCATTCTATTTGGCATATATTGCGCGATTCTATGTGGCATTCTATTTGGCTTTCTATTTGACAGTCTATCTGACAAATATGTTGAGTTTCCGTCTGAGTGAGGTACATCCTGACATTCTACCTGAGATTTATTGTGGAATATTTTGGAACTTATGTGTTGACATTTTATATACTTGGCACATGTTTTGACATTGTATTAGACATATTATATGCCAAATATCATTTACATATATATAGTAGAGGTGTGTGTTCTACAAGCATGCGTTTGTGTTTTTGTGAGGGTCGGTCATTCAAAGCGATTTCTGAAAACCATCCAAATTCAAAATCAAGTGTCCACAAGTCCATGCTAGTCAGCTAGTCTTTTGATTCCAAACCCATGAGATAACACCATGAACTGGCTGCCTATATTGTCTTTAGCGTTGCTGTTTTCCCCCTTCAATGTGTTTGCAGGCATTTTCCCATCTGGATAGCTTTGATTATAGACGCATTCTTCACATGTTCCATGCTAAGAATGTTACTCAGATACACAAGAGCAAAGCATGATGATACTTAGAGAAAGCATGTCAGGTCACTTAATCAGTTCTACGCCATCATAGTCATCCACACACACAAAAAATGTTACTCAATTAGGCATCACATTTCATCCAACAACGTTTCTGAGACATATGACATACACACATTTCATGGCCACAAGCAACAAACAACATGAACTTGTAACATCCGAAGCAAACAAAACATGAAAAGCAAAAAAGAAACATCAATAGTAGCCATATCAAAAAGACCTCATTAAATATAGTCATATAGTCTATTTAAAGTTGTTGTGGGTGAAACACAACACTTAATCGTCAGGAGCCTAAAACCTGATCTTTGAGGCACCAACTTGGTGCCGCTCCATGTGGATTGCAACCGCCGTGGCCACGGTTTGTCAACATGTGTTAGTGCCAAATAAATTCCACGCATGTACACAAACACCCCACTTAACCATCATTATCTATCAATTATCTATCAGTTATCTATCAATTATATCCCCATGCCTTTCTGTTGTTTATTGTTGTTTAACCCCTTGATGAATCCCTACTTGGGCGCAATTGAGCTAAAAAATATGGCTGACAGGGCTGACACCACATTCCAACCCCAATATTAGTTGGGATATAACTGGTATAACCCATGAATAGCTATGGTCGTAGATCCACTTTTGTTCTACTGGAACATCCCCATGGCCCATTTTTTCCAGGCTGTTGACGCTGCGGATGCGTGGCTCGGTCCCGAACGATTTAAATTTTGGGTCGATTTTAAAGGGTTTAGGCATCAAGAAAGGTTCATTTGATTCAACTTTCCATGGTTTCACATGGTTCATTCACTTGAATTTCGGCATTTGCCATCAAAAAAGGTGATTTACGAGCAAAGCTGCGGTGAAAAACCATCAATGTTTGCGTCTTGTCAACAACACATGCGGTGAATTGTGTGAACGAAACTAACTCCTTCCACAAGGCTACCTTGGGCACCTCAGAGAAATGACTTGGCTAAATGAAATTCTTTTCGGAATGGCCAGTTCATGCCATGTCTCAGCCAAACCGAGTTGATTCTGAGATGATGTTGACACAGTGACAGGCTCAAGGGCGCTGATCAAGTCCTGTCAGGAGATCTCTGGGGAAATTCCAGGCCATCCATGCGAAAAACGGGCCATGCGTCTGCTTTTCAGTTCGTAAATTGCTGTGTTCGTTCCACTGGCCCGGTTCCGGCCCACGAAAAAAAGACCACAAGTTTAGAGGACATTAAACATCAGAGGAACATATATTGGTCGTCGAAGTCGGTTCATGGTCCAACACCTGGGGAAATCACAGCGGCATTCAACCTAAAATGACCCCACAACAAACGATTTGGCTGAAGGAAAAATGCACAGGAACCTCCTACATTTGATGGCTTTTTTTTTGCAAGCTGTCCCTTAATCCAATCATTCAAAGTCGGTTCAACAAGCTGGTTCATAAACCTATCTATATAATCAATATATCAATCAATCTATCATTAATTGATCTGATCTAACTATCTATATATATATATAGATGTATCATTGCATAGCTTTACATAGCCTTATAGCATTGTAATCATATAATCAACCTATAGTTATGAAGCAATTTACCTTCACACATCCATCCGCGGGAAATTCCCGCCGACTCGCCGACTCATTTGGCAGCCTTGAGATGGAGCTTCGAATGGACAGGCGGCGCCAGTGGTACCCTTTGGATCCCTTTAAAGTAACATAGCTATGGACAGTGATCCATTGCTGATTTATGATATTTATATACATCTATGTACCTTAACCTTAATGAGAAACAAACGGAGTGATTTTCCATTCCATGTCTTTTAGTTAGCAGATTGCGGTATATCATGATTTGTATCTGGTGGCTATGTGGCTGCTGGTGTTACATCATGTTACATCCACGACAGAAAAATCTACGGATGCCTATTTAAGCAACATGCTTTATTATCAGCCAAAAAAACATGAGTCAACACGGGAACCGTGTTCTTAAGTGACATGGACACCATAAACCCTGAATAAGCCTTCCTATCGGAGTTAGAACCCCCAATAGTTTTTGAAATTACTTTTCAACCTGGTATCCCTCTATCAGTCCTACTGGTATCCCTCTATCAGTCCTAGGTCGACATCAAAGATGCGTGCTTTTCTTTCGATCAATCATCTATGGTGTTTGTTTGACAGTCAGTGTGGTGGTGGGAGAGATGTTTGATTTCTTGAAGGAGTGACTCCACCGAATTATAGACCTATGGCGACTAACTACTAATAGCAAGGATTTTTTATGCGCTTGTTTCCGGATCGCATTCCTCCACTTCGACGTATTCAGCTTGATTTAACTCAAAAGTCCCATCTAATATTGATCAAACCTCACAGTATTACAATCCAGTTTGAGTTGAATTTGGGCTTCCCCTCTCAACCAACCAACCAACCAACCAACCAACCAACCAACCAACCAACCAACCAACCAACCAACCAACCAACCAACCAATTACCAACCCACCCACCCACCAACCAACCAACCAACCCAGCTATAGCGAGCTTGCGACCTGTCCGGGTTGCGCATGACCCGGAGCTTATGCCGGATAAAAATGCCAGACAGTGGAGAGAATGTTGGATAGAATGCCAGGTAGCATGTCAGAATGTCGGATAAAATGCCACGGTTTTTGAGACCGGATGCCCAATAGCGTCAGAATATTTGTCACATAACAGTTCAGATGGAATGGGGGGATATGTGTCTAATAGAATGTCAAATAGAATGCTAGATAACTGTCAGAGAGGGAATGTGGGAAGGCAATGGAGAGAGATAATGTCAGATCGGATGCCGAATATATGTCAAGCTATGTGTCAGGGTGGGGATGACTCAAAGTAAAGTGGTCTTTTTGCTGGCGTTAGAAACCTATATCATGCGTGTATGATATGTAAACATATATATACACATTCATATACAATATACACATACTCCAGATTGAAAGTACATGGCTCTGAATATTGAGTTGCGCCATCTATGTCAACGGGAAAATACAGAGGATAGATGACGCAACTCCATTCTCAAACAGGTAGTTCGCGCCACGTATGTCCCTAAAAATGGCCTATTGTTTGCAATCTTCTGCGCTGGTTTGCACCCATGTTTTTTCCTCAACATCAAGCTGCCTTTGTGGGACATAGATGGCGCAAGTCCCACTCATTCGCCAAAATCAGGCTGGGAATGCCCACATAGATGGCGCAAGTCCCTCATACCTCCCAACATCCCTCAACAAGCTAAGGAAGGTTGGCATTGGCAAACGCATTTACAAACAGAACTTTGTCCTGTCCTCATCATCAAGCCCTTGCCTGACTTGCGCCATTTGCATGCATGCATGCATGCATGCATGCATGCACATATACATTTACATATACACATACACACACACACGTGTATATATATATTTATTTATTTATTTATTCATTTATATGTTTATTTACTGTATTTATTTGTGATGTATTTACAGATATGCACCTCATTTGCCCACTGCTTTCGTCCCCTTTCTTCGAAACCCCATACTTTTTGAGAAACCATGTCCGCCAGGACAGTGAGCGAACACTCCGTGGGCTCACACTCCGTGGGCTCGGCGATCTCGTCACCCAGTGGGTCTTCAATACCCAGGCCGCAACCTGAACGGCAGCAGCATCAATAGCAGCATGACTTGATAAGAAACTGGGAATTCGTGGATGTGTTCCGGGGTGCCTTAGCGTATTTGTGTACGTACACCCACCTTATAGGCGTACGTGCAGCTTGCAGGCAGAAAGCAAACTGAGATCTTGTGAGCCAGTCTAGCACTCACATAGAAGGAACATGAAGGAACAAAGGCTCAATCCATAGCTATAGGTATTTCGACATCAGCATGGTCAAGGTGTTTTTTGTTCAAATGGTGGTGATGATGATGTTGATGATGATGATGTTGATGTTTTACAGTCTGTTTACTGTTTTCCTTGCGTTCATGATGCATTGATTCATATTTTCTCAGATGAATAATAAATAGGTCCTATAGACTAGAATGGGATACCTGAGCATTCTTTGAACTTCTGGATGTTAAAGCCCATGATGTTGCATGGCATATAGTTTTATTTATTTATTTTAATATAATATATGTAGTTATTGATTTTTAAATATAATATATATATATTATGTATATATATATTATATATATATGTATAATTTGTTTCCTACATTTACCCCACAATTAGAAGGGTGTCAATTTCAACTTTTGGGCACCGGCGTCAATTTTGATGAATCACTTTCGATCTGGAGCTACGTACGATTCGCGGCTGAACCTAACACTTATGGATTTTTGTTGCTTGGCTCTCTCCCCATTCAAAAGTGATACATACATTTTCACCCATGGATTGTTAGTGCCACAATCTCCTTGGGTTTCCGTCCATCCAGGGGAATTGCGGCCTGGGCCTAGCAGTTTATGTTGGGCCTCTAGAACTACATTTGCTGGATAAAATCGTGCATGTGTCTATCTAGCCTAGCCCCTGCTCAAACCTAATTAAACATATTCAACCTATCTATTGTATTTTATTGTAATTTGAGTTGCTTGATTTCAATTCAATTTTACCATGTTATTGTTTCGCTTGTTTTTTATCGGTTTCTCCATCCACCGTGGACGCCGCGGCAGGAACACCATGCATGCAGAGTTCCACAAAGTGCAGCAGAAAAAGTCCTCCAACACAGACCTTCAGGAGCTCAACGGCTTCCAGCTGACGATCGCGGCTCGATGATGATGCAGGAACCATGTGGGTGAATGACCCACGGGTATAACTGGTAGATACCCTCTAGTAAACTAATATAGCTATGGTACATGGCCCGTTTATAGATTATTTACCTAATAAACATGGTGATTTTCCATAGCTGTGCTAAACTACCAGAGAGTATGTTGGATGCTGATGGGGGTTACCAACAAACATACCTTAGGCACTACCTGGTACATCCAAAGATGTCCGACATGCGGAACAAAGGAGCGAACCACATATGAGGTGGTGAAACCTGATCAAGACAAAGCGGTCTCAATTGGTTTTCGCAATGGAGCACGCCCAGGTTCCAGATGATTTACCCAGTGAACATGCGGTTTCCCTGGCCATGTTTGATTCATGGATGGTATTTGTTCAGGCTTGTTGGTATCGATTCTTGCCTGCGGAGCCTGTAACATGCACTGATAATTGACACGGCACTTGCAAAGGAACCGGGAGATTAGGTTGTCCGCTTCCTCGCGGGTTTTAAGCCGTGTGCTGTAAATACTCTGTAAATGAAGAAAAAATTAAGCATGTTTTCTCCCATTCAAATCCACCTTTCACACGCTCAAGTGACTTATATAAGTGTGGAAAACAATCAGTTGATGCTGAGGCACGGATGCTGGATCGCAACTCCGTTGTTAATTGCATGGTTTTCGTGATTTTTTTGGATTTTATTTGCACTTTGGTGGACGTGGATGCCAAAGCAGTGGGAAGGGAGCTGCCGCTCTGGACCCTGGTGGTAGCTGAAACTCGGCAGTTGTTCTAACCGTTCTAACCTTTTTTTTTGAGGGGGGGAGTGAGCATTTGTAGATATGTGGCCTTGGATGCTTCTTAGATGTGTTTTCAGTTTTTGTGGATGGTATGTGTTTGTGTGTGTGTTTGTTTGCATAATACGTGTTGGATGTTTTTGATTCCCACCCAGAGAAACCAATACAATAAATGACATGCCAAACCCGTAAAACGGCAATCATAGGTAGTTCTGCAAACTCATGTGTTCAGAGTTTCCATCTTGGATTTAACTGGTGAATGGTTTGGTTCCAATTGATTTAAAATTTAGCGGGATACCTCCTTACGATTCGACGCGTCAAGATCCCAGAGAGCCGAGGAAATTTGTTTGGCCCTTTACACTATCGAGTTGGCTGCTGTATTGTATGTGCATGGCATTCGGAGGGCATGCAGCAACAAGTCGATCCTCTTCGACCTGTTTTGCGTGATATCTGGATATGTGGAAGCTTGACCTTTGAAAGCTGTAGTAAAGGAATGTAAAGGACAGTGAGGGAATACTACGATTGCCGGGTGATTTTCCATGATTTTCCATGATTTTCCATACCTGGAATGCTTATCCAGGAGGCCCACCGAATCCTGGACAGTAAAAACCGATGGTTTTCTCCACAAGTCCTGTTCGTGGCAAGGCTAGGTCCCTGTCATAGTTTTAGGACGTTTTAGGTCCGTGGAGTTAAACTTGACACTCCGCATTTATGGATTCAGATGCTGTGATCATTTGCCACCCCAAAAAATGTCCCATCTTGGGAGCAATCGTTTGATGGTGCTTTGTGACCCGGGTGTCTGGATACCCGAATGTGATCCCTTTCATCAGGGGCTCAACTCATTTGATTTTTTAGTTATTGATTGGTGTCAGGGACATGAAAATCTCAATATTTGGATGAACAGGCGACCAAAACCAATGGTGTTCCTCGGGTTTCTTCTTGAAACCAAGCCAGTTAAGCCCTTCCCCCCAAGCAAGCCCTGGCGTAGTACAGTACTTGTCCCCCTTGTTCAGGGACCCAGAATATCGTGAAGTATTTGATATGGTCAGGGGTGGGATTAATATGCACGTGTATCGTGTATGCCTGTCTGAAGATAAGGCACTGTACCCCAAAATCTATGTGGTTGCCATCATGCTGCCTATAAAACGGGATGTTTTTGTACAACCCTTGTTAAGATATTTGAAGACGCATATTGACGTATATATAAATATCATAAATATACATATGTATGCATAATAATGTTTATAAAAATGGTAAAAATATGTAAAAATAAATAATAATGATAATTTTAATTTATGTGTGAGTACAAGTTCGATACGTTTGTCACCCCGAGCACCGGTCTTCCAGGCGACCTTCATTCGCTTGTTCGGCGCGAGTTTACCCAACGAAGCCAAATTCCTGGCGGATCTGAAGGTCATGCGCGTGGTTCGTATCCTGCGGGTGGCACGCGTGATCCGGAAAACCCGTGCCTCGTGGAAGCCGTTACGCCGGGCACCGAAGTGAGAAGTTGGTTTATGCTGCCCCATCGAATAGATAAATCCACCACAACTATGCATAAATCCATTACAACTATTTGTCATAAATCGTCTATTGTTATGAGAATTTCTGCGAGTCACAGATTGGAAAGCATCGTATATACGTACATATATATATATATATATACAGATTGGTTTCCTCTTTAAATCTTCATTTAATTAATCCTCATTCTGGAACCTCAGCAAATCCTCCCCATTTAATCCTCATTCCGGAGCCTCATCAAACCTTCAATCATTTGATCCTCATCCTGGAACCTCATGAAATCATCATTCGTCAGTTAATTCTTATTCTAGAGCTTCATAACATGCTGCTCATGTAATTTTCATTCTGGAACATCAACAAATCCTGAATCCTCATCTAGTCATGATTCTGAAAAAATATCCGCTGGTAATGAACCTATAATGAAAAAATGCGCCATGCAAAACGGGATGCGTTAATGAAGGTTTCAAAACGATGTTAGGAGAAACTGAAAATTAAATGATGGTGTTTCACCAGTTTAGCAGAAAACTACAATTTTCCACAATGAAACTATGATGACGATGACGATGACGATGACGATGATGATGACGACGACGACGACAACGATGATGATGATGATGATGATGATGATGATGATGATGATGTCCCTGGTTCAACAATAAGTTTGTTTCGAAGATAACATGGTGATTTCATGGTGGTTTCAGGAACAAATTATGTTTTTGGAGGATGCAATAAATATGTTTCGGTGATTTACTGGGCATTTGATGAGGACACCAGGAGAAAAACAGTGTTTTTGTCGAAGCCTTTTGTGATTTCAATAGCAACATATTTTTTTGGGCCGCGATTGTTCGATCATGCGTTCAAAGATTTAAGAAAAACAGATCTTCCCGATTCCCAGGATTTTGTGAGGATGTCTCGGGGATTGAAGGAAACAAAGAGGATATTTTGAAGATATTTTGAATTTCCCCCGAGGGTTTGAATTCTTTTCAAGGGATTTTTCGTGGATAGGATTTTTCGAGGATTTGTCAAGGAGCCGAGGATATTTCGAGGATTATGCGACTAGTTGTACCTATGTGGGTAGTTGGCCTTTCTGTGCAGGGGCTGGAGATGGGCCCAAGGTCTCGGAAATTGTCCTTGGCATTGACTGCGTTCCCAAGTATGACATGCGTTTGTACCGTCATGGGGTCCTAAAAAATCCGATGGTGAATCCCCAAAATGAGTAGGACACAAAAGAAAACATGGTCATGAGTCATGAGTCATAACTATAGTCTCAATATAGTGTTCATAAAAGCATCTAGTTTGGGTCTAAAAGATGTCGAAAGGTTGATACATGCACCTTGACTCTCGCAGAGGTGGTTTGCGAGAGCTCCAGAAGTTGATGAAGATGATGACGACCTGTTTGAAAGCCCTTGGGTGACTTGGCATTGAACAGTTCAGCATGAAACAGGTGTGGTAAATGGCGGTTTCCTAAAATAGGGTTACCCCCAAATCATCAATTTTAATGGGATATTCCATAAAATAAACCATCTATTTTGGGATACCACCATTTATGGAAACCCCCAAATAGTGCTATGTCCATATTACTTGGGTTCAATTGGTGATTAGTGTTATGTCCATATGACTTGGGTTCAATTGGTGATAGCCTTTGTTACTCAAATATGTAAGGACGTACACGTACTTACATTCATAGATACATATGTAACATGTGTTTTTATATATATATATACGCGCAACGCCTGGTCTTTGCCCAGGCGTTGCAGCGTAGAGGTTTCCCATTCCCAAACAAATGTTGATAGCAACTTCACAAAATTCGTTTGGGAAAAAAACAAAGGTACTGGTACTAGGGAATATTAAACTCCCACCCCTGTTAAACCTTAAATTCCTATGGGAAAAACAACAAAGGTATTAGGGAATACTAAACTCCCACCCCCCTTAAACTTTACATTCAATTGGGAAGATCAACAAAGGTACTAGGGAATATTAAACTCCCACCCCCGTTAAACCTTAAATTCCTATGGGAGAAACAACAAAGGTACTAGGGAATATTAAACTCCCACCCCCGTTAAACTTTACATTCAAGCGGGAATATAAACAAAGGTACTAGGGAATATTAA